TGATCATGCACCAACACACACAGCAAGACTTGTGACAGAACAGCCCGTTCTCATCCTTTAACGTCATATAGAACGCTATATGCAAAAACGGCGCTATACTACGCATATGGCACCCTTTATCGTTAATATAACACGCGAACCCAAGACGTTATAAATCCTTTAGCGTGAATGTGACACGCACACCCTACCCCACACCTAAACTTAGCCCTCACAGCGCGTGTTATATTAACGATAACGTGTGCCATGCGCGTAGTATAGCGCCGTTTTGTCATATAGCGTTCTATATGACGTTAAAGGATGAGAACGCGTTGGACAGAAGGGTTTGATGAAGATGAAAGTGACGTTGAACATCTCCCATGGTCTGCACAGTCACCAGATCTGAATATTATTGAGGTGTTTTGGAGGAACGAGTCCACCAGCATCATATAGTGACCTGGACACTGTTCTGGAAGAGGAACGGCTCATAATCCCTCTGGTCACTGTGAAGGACTTCTATCTGTCAATTGGTGCTGTATTTGGATGCAAAATGAGGCCCTTACCATTCTAACAAATTATTGTGTTGTAAAACCAGGTGTTTCAGTTTCATTGTCCAACCCCTGTAGGTCGCTAGCCACTCTGAAGCTCGAACCGTCTTATCCATTTTTCCCAGTCTTGTGGCTTTGAAAAGTTGAAGGATTCTGGCGGGTATATTGAGAAAGTTGCACGTTTTAGCAGGAGGCTGTGGAGGATCGTCCTGTTCATGCCTGGCTGCTTGCTGTGCTCGTTGTGAGTGTGACATGCTTGCTAACCTTGTCTAATTTTAGCTTCTCCACATCTCTGTTTCTTTCCTCCTCTTCTCAAATAATGTCCACTATCCTTTACTCACTCTAGCCCCACCTCTGACATCATGTTGTGTTGGGTTTTTAGAATAAGAATATAGATGTGGCCTCAGACGTGGCCTTCACATAGCCTCTTTTTATTATCTCTTATTATTCACTGGCCAAACACTGTCCGTCTCAACCCTGTGATAGCCCTTTACTGCTGCCTAGTGCCCTGGCAGTGTAACAATATCATAGATCACACCACATCCCGTTCCCCTTCTCAGTGAACTGAGTAACCCGAGATGTTTTTATGGCATCTCGTGGCAAGCCAAAAAGTATAAAAAATTGCTCTCTTCAGGCCAAAGAACTATACTTTGAAAGGTTTGTGCGCTCAACTGTGCACAAGACGGCACAGAAAGCAGAAAATGTATACCTGGGCCAAAGCAAATAGATCTCTGGCTGTAATAATTGGGTTCAGTTAATCCACATCTCTGCTTTGGAACACAGTCAGGCCTCTTGTTTGTCCCTGCTGAATTAGTTTCTGTGGTCAAAACCTCTAAATGGCTAATTTGTCATTAATGTTCTTTGTGATCATCATCCTGAGCTTTTAACCCAGAGACAAGTAGCTCCACTAATTAGACATAAGCTCTGCTTGTTTGTTGGTTTTCTCTCAAACCAAATCCGATGTTAACACTCTAACCATCTGTTCTCATGTGCATGCAATCTCTCATCACATAACTGAAAAACACTGCACTGAACAACACATTACAATTATTTTTTTATCTCAATATTTTAATTACAAACATGTTGCAAGTTCATTACACAAAAATCCAATGAGGATGTAAAAAAAAAGAAACAACATTTGCAAATCAGTAACCCGTGTCGTTCCACGTGATGATAGATAATAGGCTTTTAACTGTGCACTTTAAATGTTTCCTCCCCATCACCTTTAAGATGTATTGTTAAAGGAACAGTGTGTGATTTTTAGCGGCATCTAGTGAAAACGCAAAATCGTACATGGAATCTTATTGTTTGATATTCAACCACACATGCACTTCAGCTTTAAGTCTATGTCAGCTACTTCAGCTTTTTAATGTATAGTGTTTTTATGTTTTTGTTTTGTTTTTTGTTTTTTTTGGTTATTTTTTTCTTGGCTGATTGCATTATTGTGTTTTTAGGCTACCTGTCCACTGTGTCTAAATAATTTTCCAATGGATTTTTTTTTTTAAATTCATGCCAGCTTTTGCGGTGATAGGTAACTTAATTCATAAATTGATGAACAATGAATACAATGAACACGTTAATAAATGTACAATAGTATATCCAAGTTAAATAAAAAAAGTCATAGCTTTCGATTTTACAGCCATATGGTTAAAAAACATCTTCCAGGTCAGAAATCGGAATTCTTTGGAATTCTCCAAACTGCATAAAACACGTGCAACAGAATAAAACAACTAATTAAAAATACCGACAACTAAAGTAATTCAATCCAAAATTGTATTGTAATTTGTGAATTAAGTCACCTTTCACCACAAAAGCTGGCATGAATTTCTAAATAATCCATTGCAAAATTATTTAGACACAGTGGACAGGCAGCCTAAAAACACAATAATGCAATCAGCCAAGACAACAAATGACCACAAAAAAACAAAAACAAAAAACAAAACAAAAAAAACCCTTCCATTAAAAATCTGAAGTCGCTGAAATAGACTTAAAGGGCACCTATTATGGAAAATTCACTTTTACATGGTGTTTGAACATAAATGTGTGTTGGCAGTGTGTGAGCAAAACCACCCTAGAATGATAAAAATCCACCCAGTGGTTTTTTTACAATCTCAATAAATCATATGCACTGTCCCAGAACGAGCTGTTCTGAGATCCAGCTCTTTGTGACGTAGAAAGTGAGAAAGGGGGTTGATTGACAGTGTGGTTGTGGCATAGACCCCGCCCTCGGTGATCTGTACACACCATCCTCCATTGTTTCAACGACAGCCGGTAATGTCTCTTGGAAACATAACTGTTCTCTTGTGGGTTAATCCTGTTGTTGTAGTTTAAAAGTTAATCCTCAACTGTTAATCGTCATCTACTGTTTGCGATCCACCTTCACCTCCAGTAACAGTAAGTGTATTTTATGATTTTTGAGCAAATAGTCTTTTCAGTCAATGTCAGCCAATTCAACAACAAATGCGTCTAAAGTTGTTGTCGTTGTAGGATGTCTGTGTAGGCTATATAATTTAAACCTTGTTTGTGTAGTGTGTAACCACACGTTTATATATATTTAAAGATATTGTATTAAAAACTGCATATATCTTGTTCTGTAAGTTAGCCATCTTCTCACATTTGCCACAGAAGCAACTGTATGACAAGTAAACATGACGCCACAGGTCCCTCGCATAAATGTAATTTCGCTTGTACGTAGCAAACTTTATCACAGTATGTGTATGTAGTTTCAAAAAAAACTGCACCAGCATTAGTGTTTGTGTGTCTGTGTGTGTGCGTTGCACATGCCCATCATTTCAAAGGGGACGCGTTACAACGCTAAGTACATAAATGTTAGGGCTGAACGATTTTGGAAAATAATCTAATTGCGATTTTTTTAACCAATATTGCGATTGCGATTTAATATGCGATTTAAAAAAAACAGTTATTTACCTTCTGTATTAGTCGACAAAGACAAGCAATAAATCATTGTACAGTAGGGATGGGAATCTTTAGATAGCTCATGATCCGATCTACTTTTTTTCTTATTAATTAATCTTAATAACTCTTAAAAATATGTATTTAATTACATGTGTAAAAACACTTATTTTAAAAAATAAATATAAAAAACATTTAATTAAACTAATTACATGTTAAGAATTTTAAATAGGCTATATAAAATAATATAGCTTCAGAATATAAAAGCTAGTAAATAAAGAGAAACAACAACAACAAAAAAACATTACAAGCGATAAACAAAGAGTGGTCTCTGTATTTAAAAGTAGGCTGTCTGAATGTTTATCATTCAAGAGTTGGAGTGATTTCCCCTCAGTTTAGATATGATAAGCTGCATTCACACTAATGCATATATCTCTTTTGAAATTGTAAATGTGGTTTGTCCTGTTGGTTTAAGATATAACTGACCGTGTTTGCATTAATTTCGCGTCATAAAAGCATTTTGACATGCAAGTACATTTACCAATGAGTCGCTCACGGCCGCATGCAAGAGCGCTCTTCACAAAGCACGCGTTAGTATTTTAAAATGAAAGCAGCCTTCTCAGTGATTTTCATGGTTTTAATATATAAGCCAACTGCATTTCAAAAGACATAAATAATGCCTCTGTGAAGCATTTGTAAAGAAAATTCCCGCGGGAGAGAACGCGCACTGCAAGTGTAACGTTATAACATCAAACAAAGCGGCAAAACCTGTTCAATGAAGCCCGCGAATGTACTTGTAATTTGGTTCAACCCCGAACTTTATGAAATAACGTTACTATGTTTTGGAAGGTTCGAGCGGTGTCGTGTGTGTGAGTGAGGAAGAGAGAGAGCGAGAGAGGCTCGTTTCTAAAGCACGCGCAGCGTCATCACGCATCTGTGTTTAAAAACTATAAGCTCATACTCGATTCTGAAATTCTCTGAATCGATCCAGGATTGTTGAGGAGAGGAGAGAATAAATAACACAATATCACATACATTAAAAATAAACTGTTCTTTTCTGAACGCCAGAGCGCGTAGCGTGGCAAGTTGATGCTTTATCTTGCAGACTGCTTTTCTCTCGCGTGTCACGTGACCAGTGTAATCGCAGCTCTTGCGATTACAAAATCGCGTTTCATCATATCGCGATTTTATCGCAAATGCAATTAATCGTTCAGCCCTAATAAATGTATCAAATAACCATACCGAGACGTACTGGTCCATTCTCATTTGTGTTTATTCTTCTGTTGGTCATCTGGGTCTGATCAGAGATTATTTATATATTCCGATTCAAACGTACGCTGAATGACATTCAAAACAGCGGTTTCTCTCAGTCTCTCAGTACCGACTGCCATTGGTATCAAGTTACACCCTCATCCAAAGGCAGGGCGGGGATATGCAGCTCATTTGCATTTAAAGCCGTATACCCCCCGAAACAGCTCATTTTTAAGCAGGCCCCAAAATGACATTTTCAAATGGTTATAATAAATTAACTGTGGGGTATTTTGAGCTCAAACTTCACAAATAAATTCTGGGGACACCAGAGACCAATATTACATCTTGTAAAAAGGGGCATAATAGGTGCCCTTTAAAGCTGAAGTGCATGTGCGGTTGAATATCAACCAATAAGATTCCATGTATGATGTTGCGTTTTTATTGGTCAGTCGTTGAAGCCTTTTCTGATTGGTTGTTGCCATTTTGACAGTGTTTATGCCAAGAGCAAAGAGAAAGAAATCGAAGAGAAGAGTACTTAGGCATGTGCAAATGCACGGCACACAGTTTAAGCACATAGAGGAGAGATTCGTGATTGCAATGAACACGTTTTAAGTGCAGGCATATTCTCTGAGAGAACCCAGAGAAAATTCTTACAAGAGAAGCGTATATCTGAGAGTGCGCGCCCAGTTCCCACGCACGATCAGAGGGATTCGCGCTCGGGACATTATAATCCGTGCGTGAGCAGAGATTCGCACTCACATGCGAATGCGTTCTCGACATTTGACAAGAAAATAACGCCATACGCTATGTAGTAGTTTGTACATTTACGGCTACTGTAGAAATATGTCAGTGCAAAATGGCTATTTCAATGTGAGGGGACCCGTGATGTACAGTATGTAGATAGAAACAGCTAATTCTAAGTTAATAACAACATAACGGTTCATTATGTAAGGTCTTTATAAACCACTGTAAACATAGTTATGTGTATGATATTGCATTTCTGTCCACATATCCTCCTAAATATTACACAATGCACCTTTACATGATGATGTCATTGTAGTTCTGGTTTGTTTTGACATATCAGCCCAAATGACACAATTCCTGAATGTGTGTCAGCATGCAATATTTGTTTACCTCCCGCTTTAAAGCTTTAAAAAAAAAACTTATTTTTTTGTTTGTAAACTTATCTTACTTGTAAATACAAGAATTGTCCTTAAATAGGGAAAGGAACATTGTCTAAACATATTCATCAGTTAATAAAAACAACAACAACAAAAAAACAGCCAATATTACAGTTTTTTTTACAATTGCCAGGACACATTTCTTTTCAGTTAATTTCACATTCAAAATGCTCTAAAATGACCAAAACATGTCTCAAATCAAGTAATTTTCCCATAACACTAGCAAATGTTGTCAAGTCCATCAACAAACTCCCTCTGTCACTTATAAAACAATGACCTAAAAATGCCAACAATAGGCTGCATAATACAATGTTTGCTTTTGTAAAATTTCTTTACATATGACGCTTCCAGAATTCACTGTAGTTTGTAACATAGTCCATGTTTACATTACCAAATTATTCCGAAGTCTTCCTCTATTGTATAGATGGTAAAAAGATTGAAAGATCTGTGTAGGTGTTTAGCAACATCAAATTGTTTTTATAGCTTTTAGATTTGTAATGTATTTCAAAATTATATTACTGTAGAAATGTAGCAAATTGCTGTCTTATTCAATTATGTATTATGTTAGGTTTTGAATTTAAGTTTTGAAAAGAGTATAAACATGCAATTTGGCCTGCTATATAGAGTTTTGGTGGTGGTTGTGTCTAATTGAGAGATGTATTAATGTTATTTGAAAGATGTAGTCATTGAATGCATTTTGTGCCAAAGCAATGTTAAATAATTTTCAGTTTAGCCCAGATAAACCTACTGTGTGAAGAGTTTTGAAAAAGTGAAAGTTTTTGAAAAAAGTATTGAGAAATGTGCCCTAGCAAATGTAAAAAAAGTTTTATGAACAAAGTTCAGGAGGAACTTTGTTAGGACCATATTCTGAGGTCGGAGCCCTCCCATCAAAACAGCATGCCAAATACGCCTACTGATGAATTATTTTCTGATTATTTGTAAGTGTGAACTTGTTATACTGTAGTCAAAAACAAAACCCTGGATGTGGAAGAACCAGAGAAAGTGTTCGTTCAGTACTTCTTTATGGCACAGTGATAGAAACATAGCTCCAAAAGAGGTTTTTGGTTATCTGTAAGGCAACCATCTGGTGATTCAGACTTGACAAATATTGTAGTACACTGTGGGTCGTTCAAAAACAGTGTCCCCAACCACCTCAAATATACAGTCTTTGCCGGCCAGCAGAGGTACTTCAGTCAAAGGCACATTCTCCATGTTATGAGCAGTCTGGGTGTCCTGTTTAGCTTCATTTGCTTTTGCCTAACAAAAAGAAGGACATATTCCATTAATAAGCTTGTGGTATTTTAATATACCAAACTAAAGTAAACTTTAGTTTGTCATCATGATGCATGTAATAATATATGATATACAGTATATATTTATAATAATACATAATAATAAGTATAATATTTAACATGGGCTTGTCAGTGACATGTAAGAGTGTCCGTTATAAAAAAATAAAAAAATTAATAAGTAATGTTTAAAACACACTACTAAGTTATTAGAAATGTATTCTTTGCATTCATTATGGTGTCATGATTCTGCCATCATGTCATTGATTTTTCTAGTCTTGTGGCAGGATCATGGCAGAACCATGTTTTGTGTACAAGCGCATGGCCTGTTGTTTGGGCCATGTGCTTGTGTTGTCTTGTTTCATACCCTGCCCACTTGTTATTCTCGTCTTGTCATTATTGTCTAGTCAGTTTCACCTGTCTTTTTCATTAGTGTCTCCCTTTATAATCCCCTTGAGTTTGCTGTCCTGTGCTGGTTCATTGTAAAACTGTGTGTGTCGCAATCTGTGAGTACTAGTCTGTATCTTGTGTTAAGAGTTGTGGTTTGAATAACTGTTTATTCTCATTTCCTAGTCATCAAGTCTGTATCCTGTTCTAGTTTACTTTATTTTCCTAGTCTTGGTATTCAGCCCTTCAGGGGCCCGTATTAATAAGGAGGCTCAACCAACTCTGAGTTAAAGCTTGAACTCAAAGTTGACTTACCCTGAGATGGGAAATTCTGAGATCCCTTTCGTAGTCACTTCGAGTTACGTCAGAAGTGACGGAGAATGGGGGTTTCGCATGAAAGCCAATCCTCTTCGAGTATTTAACAACGAGCCAATGGCATGCAATGCCTTGGGGCTGCGGAAATTTGCATAGCGTACTCCGCCCAACTCCGTGAGTATAAAAGGAGGAAGTGAACGCAACCGCAGTATGTTTTCGCTTCGGAGCCAAGAGAACTCTTCACTCCTGAAGCCATTCTCACTGATCCAAAGACTCTTCGAGACGAGCGTCCTCTTCAGTGTTGGTGTGACGGCGGTACCCAGCGAGATTCTGCATCGCCTGCGATCTGAGCAGTGGTCTGCCAGACTTTGCGTTTCTCCCTGGTCGCCTCAGCGCTGAAAGAGTGAATTTCCTCCTCTCATTGAAAGAGCTGCACGTGGCACGTCTTTTTAAAGATGTCTCGCCCGTGTTCTTCTGGGTGCGGTCGATTCATGTCATCTTCTGATGGTCACGATCGCTGCTCTGTGTACCTCGGCATTCAGCATGCAGCAGCAGCGTTCGTGGATGACTCATGTTCCTTCTGTGGGAACATGACCATCACTACACTGAGATCTAGACTCAATGATCTGACTAAAGTGAGAGTCCCCGTCCCCGCTACTCGATCTGCTTCTTCCACGAGAAGCTCTTCGACTCGCGGCCAGGGTGATCTGACGGTGACGGTGTGAAACAAAGCCCCGGCGATAATTCCTCGGGCCACACCCCCCGCTCCAGTGGTAGAGCCAGCGAGCGCCGCTTCGAATCAGCCGTCTACCTCTTCGCAGGTACCGTCTGTTTCGTTCAGCGCTCCAGAGGATGATGCGATGTCGATCGCGGCATCACAAGGCGGGCTTGATTCCTCGGGAGATGAGGATGCGGCTGCATTGCCTCCCTCGGGAGTGCCAGCGTTGCCCGTGTCTGATCCCGAGTTAACGGCCATGCTTTCTCGGGCCGCCGTGAGTATCGGGTTAGAGTGGAACCCTCCGCCCTGCCCCGATCTCTCACGGATGGATAACTGTTTTTTGGGCAAGGCTGCCGCCGCAAGGCCACAGCCGACCCCAATACCTTTTTTCCCCGAGTTGCATGCGGAGCTGACACGCTCTTGGAAGGCTCCTTTGTCCTCCCGAGAGCGTGCTCTAGCCTCCCCCGCCTTTCCTCCCCTCCATGGTGGGGCCGCCCGTGGGTACACTGGGATGCCCCTGGTGGAGCGCTCTGTTGCGATGCAGCTGTGTCCACAGAGCGCCTACTCCCGTGGTCCTCCTAAGCACCCATCCAAAGCCTGTAGGTTCTCGTCTGCTATGGCGGCGCGTTCCTATAGAGCGGCGGGACAGGCGGCCACCGCCCTGCATGCGATGAGCACCTTGCAGGTTTTCCAAGCCAAGTTGCTCAGAGATATGCACGAGGGGGGACTCGTGCATATCTCTGAGGACCAAACGGCCTTCAACGAACTGCGAGCGGCCACAGACCTTGCTCTCCGGGCAACGAAGGTGGCGGCTCGCTCCGTTGGTCAGGTGATGGCCACTAGCGTGGTCCAGGAGCGCCATCTCTGGCTTAACCTCGCAGATACATGGGATGCCGAGCGGACTCGTCTGCTCGACCCCCCGTTATCTCAGGTTGGCCTTTCGGCGGTGCAGTCGAGGACTTTGCCCAGCAGTTCTCGACTGCCCAGAAGCAGACGGAGGCGATCAAACAAATTCTGCCCCGATGGCCAGCTGCTGCCTCCACCCAGCCGTCGGTACAGACGCCTCCCTCTGCTCGCCGCCGAGGACGCCCCCCTCCGGCTCCCCTCCCTCCCACGCGGCCCCAGCAGCAGCCTTCACCCGGGTGGGCAGCACCCTGAGTTGGTTAAAGAAAGACTTGACATCATCACTGAGCACACAGACAGGAATGAGTGCGCTCGACGTCCCAGTGCGTCAGCCCACTCATTCCTCTCTGTCTCTGAGGGTGCGGAAGGGAGCGTGTGTCGTCCCTCGACTACGCCACTCCCCTCCCCCTCTATCGCCAGACCCCCGGCAGAACAGACCCCCGTGGAACGCTGGTCCTTCCCTGGTCTCTTCTGTCGGGGAGCGGGCTTCCACTGTGCATCCGGGCGTCCGGGCCCCAAGAAGACCGGTAGGTTACGACCGATCCTGGATCTGCGCATTTTGAACCGTGCTCTTCATCGACTACCGTTCAAAATGCTCACAGCCAAACGCATTTTCGAATGCGTTCGGCCTCAGGATTGGTTTGCAGCGATCGACCTGAAGGACGCGTACTTTCATGTCTCCATTTTGCCTCGACACAGACCGTTTCTTCGGTTCGCTTTCGAGGGCCAGGCATATCAGTACACGGTTCTCCCATTCGGGTTAGCTCTGTCCCCTCGCGTCTTCACAAAGATCGTCGAGGCAGCCCTTGTTCCCCTTCGCGAACACGGGGTTCGCATCCTGAACTATCTCGACGACTGGCTGATACTGGCACACTCTCGAGAACAGGTTTGCGAACACAGAGACCTGGTGCTCCGGCACCTAGCCCGTCTGGGCCTTTGGGTCAACCGGGAAAAGAGCAAACTTTGCCCCGTGCAGAGGATCTCTTTTCTCGGCATGGAGATAGACTCGGTCGCCATGTCCGCGCAGCTCACGAGCGAGCGCGCGCACTCACTGCTGACTTGTCTTCGACAGTTCGAGGGCAAGAGTGCGGTTCCACTGAAACTGTTTCAGAGGCTCCTGGGGCATATGGCATCCGCAGCCGCGGCAACGCCGCTTGGTTTGCTTCATATGAGACCTCTTCAGCTGTGGCTTCGCGATCGAGTCCCGAGGTGGGCATGGCATCGCGGCTCGCTCCGAGTTCCCAGTGCCGCCGAACCTTCTTCCCGCGGTCGAACCTCAGCTTTTTGCGGGCCGGTGTCTCTCTTCAGCGAGTTTCCAGGCATCTCGTTGTCTCCACGGAAGCATCTACCACGGGATGGGGTGCCATGTGCAATGGGCATGCAGCCGCGGGTTCCTGGACAGGACCCCAGCGCCTCATGCACATCAATTGCCTCGAGCTGCTGGCAGTACGCCTGGCCCTGCACCGCTTTCGAGCGTTGCTCAGGGGTCAACACGTACTTGTCCGTTCAGACAACACAACTGCAGTAGCATACATCAACCACCAGGGGGGTCTACGCTCACGCCGGTTGTCGCAGCTCGCCCGCCACCTCTTGTTATGGAGTCAGAAGCAGAGGACCTGAGGTCCCTTCGTGCAGTATACATTCCAGGAGACCGGAACCTGGCAGCCGACGAGCTGTCACGGGTCCGCCCTATCTCCAGCAAATGGCGACTCCATCCCCAGACGGTCTAGCTGATTTGGGACCAGTTCGGGGAGGCACAGATAGATCTGTTCGCCTCCCGGGACTCATCCCACTGCGCCAAGTTTTATTCCCTGACCGACGGTATGCTCGGCACAGATGCACTGGCGCACAGCTGGCCGCGGGGCCCACGCAAGTATGCGTTTCCCCCAGTGAGCTTTATGCGTTTCCCCCAGTGAGCTTTCTTGCACGGGTGTTGTGCAAGATCAAGGAGGACGAGGAGCAGCTCTTGCTGGTAGCCCCCTATTGGCCCACCAAGATATGGTTCTCCGAACTCATGCTCCTCGCGACAGCACCTCCTTGGCCTATTCCTCTGATACAAGATCTACTCACTCAGAGACGGGGCACTCTGTGGCACCCTCGTCCCGAGCTTTGGAGACTGCACGTGTGGCACCTGGACGGGACGAGGCAGGTTTGAGTTCGCTGCCACCTGCGGTGGCGGCAACCATCACTTCCGCTAGAGCGTCATCCACGAGACACCTTTACCCTTTGAAGTGGAAGCTCTTCATCAGCTGGTGCTCTGCTCGCGGAGAAGACCCCCGGAGTTGTTCGATCAGTGTCGTGCTTTCCTTCCTGCAAGAAGGGTTGGAGCGCAGGCTGTCGCCCTCCACCCTTAAGGTTTACGTTGCAGCCATTGCCGCCTCTCATGAAGCAGTAGAAGGTAAGTCCTTAGGGAAGCACAACCTGGTCATCAGGTTCCTGAGGGGAGCGAGGAGGCCACATCCGCCTCGTCCTCCCCTCGTACCTTCTTGGGACCTCTCAGTAGTTCTAAGTGCTCTGCAGAGGCCTCCCTTTGAGCCTTTGCAATCGGTAGAGTTAAAGTTTCTGTCCATGAAGACAGCACGTGACGAAGCGTGCCTGGAGTTCGGGCCGGCTTACTCTCACGTGATCCTGAGACCCCGGCCTGG